CAGATCAGTTCATGTCTGTCTCCAAAGTGAGTTTCTCTCAAGATATCCACAGCCTGGCCACACTCTAACTCATTACATATAACAGAGGCAGTTTTGAAATCAATGTGTGAAAAACAGACCGTAGCCCAAGTTTCTTCTTGCTTTACTTTCAGATGTCCTGAGCAGGCAGTGTCCCCTCCACTCAAACGCAGCCCAGAAAAACCTGGGAAAAAACCCCAAGAAATCCAGCATGAATGGTTGGTTGTACTGACCTAATTTAATACCTCCCATACCTTCATGGGCAAGACACATGTCACTTCTCTGAGGACCACTGATACTGTTAAATAACCATTGTGGCAATTCCCGTATGCCACTGAGAAGAGAGAAAATGGTGTGTGGAAATGCTTATTACTCAGCATGTGAAAATACTAAATCCTTGGGAAGCTACAGGAAGGAAGTTTTGAAGATTTGCCAAATGCTTGAGAAATAGCAGTCCCCAAATAAATAAATAAATAAATAGCCATTTACTAGTGTGTGTCCTTGAGATGTCATTGTTCAAATGAATAGGAAGCTGAAGCACCCCAGAAAGAAGAAAGAGGAAATGTTGCACCCATCTTCAGAACAGGCTAAAAAAGACAGTCTGGAGATCTACAGGCTGGTCAGTCTCACTTTGGTACCTGGGAAAAACATGGAGTGAGTCCTGCTGGAACACATTTCTGGGCACAAGAAGGTGAATTGAAGAGTCAGCATGGATTTACCAAGGGTAAATCACGCCTGTGTGACCTTGTTACTTTCTGTGATAAAAGTAACTGTATTTGTGGATGAGGGAAGACTAGCACATGTCATTTACCTCACATTTAGCAATGCCTTTGACACTGTCTTGTACAATATTCTTGTGTCCAAACTAGGATGTTACAGTCTGGGTGGGTGGACAGCTACATGGTTAAAAAGCTGACTGGATGGTCAGGCTCAGAGAGTAGTGAGTAGTGGGTTGCACTCTACCTGCAGGCTGGCAACAAGCAGAATACCACTTGTTGGCTCTTTTCTGGGACCTGTTCTGTTTGGCATCTTTACCAACAACCTGGTGGAGGTGATGGAGTGCATTCTTATAATTTAGGGATGTGGAGGGAGATAAACCCTAAGGGCAGAGCTGCCATTCAGAGGGACCTAGACAGGCTGGATTAATGGGCTGACAGGAACCTTATAAAAATCAAAAAGGGCAAATCTAAAGTCTTGAAGCTGGGGAGGAAAAACCTCTTGCAATGGTACTTTATCCAAAAAGCAAAACCAAGCACATCTTGCAGAGGAAGGCAGTCAAACAGACAATGGATTTTTTTATCATTACAGACTGTCCTGCCTTAGTGTACATGAAGATCTGCAAAAGAAAGGCAGTTATATGGCATAACACAGCATTTTCTTGCCTCTCCATCTACACCTGCTCTTTTAGCTCCCATACCTTGTCAAAGACAAGTTTAGTACTGCTCTCCTGGGAGAGCTGTGGTAGAAACAAGTAGTATTTCTTTTTCTGTTCCATGTCATTTAATATCTCTACTTCGATTCTATATCATTGCTGTACCCAGGCAAAGAAGACATACACTAAGCAGAAGACTTAATGCTGGTGCAACTTGCTTTGGCTGAGTGGAGGCCAGGGAGAAAGTGTTACCGCTGTGCAGTACTTGGACAAAGTTTGATCTCAGCTTGTAGCATTTTTCTGTGATACAAGTTGGATGACTTCTTACCTGAGCAGATCACTCCAGTATCAAAGTAATGAGGGCAGGTAAAAGAACCCCATCCTGTATGTGAGCAGTTCCAGAGAGTGGATTCATCACCACGACAGTCAACTCGATACAACCACGTTGGTCCAGATCCTTCTCCAAAAGGAGCTCGATTAAGGGCCTGAACAGCAGATCCACATTGTAGTTGCTTACAAACAACCTCAGCATCTTCTATGGTCCAGTCACCATCGCACACAGTTCCCCACTGCTCCTCATGTTTTACTTCCACTCTCCCAGAGCAGGGGCCAGTTCCATTTGACAGCCTCAATTCATCAGCACCTTCATACACAGAGACAGAGCAAATTTACGCAAAGGACAATGCCTAATCACAATTATCTATTGCAGATGGTAACGAGATTATTATTACTCTTATTTTACTCTTAAATCGGGCTTATTCGGTTCACCTTTCTAAATAGTCCAACTTGAAGTTTTTTGCAGGCAGTTTTATTTGTATTTACAAGTTTGAACTAACCACTGCTAAAATGTAAGTTATTTCTAATAACAGGCAAGCTTTCACTTCTTCTGACTTATCAGGGCTGGGAAATGCTGAGTAATGTCCTGCTGTGTGATTCACAAAGGCTTCAACAGAAACTCCTTTCTCTGTTGTTCTACCATGATGATAACCATCTGAAAATGTTCACTGGGCACCAGTTTCTTCATTCCTGTGTTCAGTATGGTGTGAAGAAGCCATTTCCCTTGTTTGCCTTAACTTGTTCCTCTCAGACAAACTACTGCTTGCAACTCAGTGTCCCAATACTCTATTCTTTCCCTCTTCTCTTGCCCTAGCGATGGGGTACCCAAGTCAGGGGTACCCAATGAGAGAAGAGAATTCCTCAGGAGGGGTAAGGAGATGCAGCAGCATAAGCAGAAGACAGACAGGTAGGTCTTCACCTTGTTCCTCATGCCTCTACCATCTCTTGGGGTAGGGCTGATGCCCAAAGAACCCTCTTTTCCTGCTCTGCTTCCAGGTCTGTCTCTTTCCTTTGATATGGATACACATTTCCCAGTTCGTTTTACCTGTGGACTCACAAAATAACATTACAGTCGCCACAGAGCACTTAGAGAGCTTGACAGAAGAGGGAAGATGTACATGTTGGTTTCTTGCTTTACAGTGTTGGACTGCTGCTATAGATGCTGCAAATATTACACAGTAGCTTAGCACAGGGACTTAAAGGCTGAAAAACACAGACAGAATTTTGCTACATTAAAAGGCAGGAATGAAGGTGGGACAGAGAAGCAGTTCTTAGGAATCCAAGCTACACAAAGGCCTACTAGACCAAAGAAACACAGGGGAAAAGGTCTGAGTCTGCATCTGGCACAGACACAGTAAGCATTGGAAAAACTGAAGTGTGTAGCCTAATATGTAATGACATGTAAAGAAAAAAAGTGGACTTGCTCAGGAATTGTCTTTAATTTTTTTTCCAGTCAAGAATTTTAAGACAAGAGTTTTAGAACATCTTTTCATAAAAAAAGATTCTTTACTTGCAGAAAGTCTTGTATCTGCTTGACTAAAAAGCATATATAGAATCACAGAATCATAGAACATATTGAGTTAATTTTCTGAACTGACGTAGACAATGATTTTCTGGAGATATTTGTGAAAACAAACATTGAAACAAAAAAATCCCCAACCCAAACCTTCTGCTAAATTCCATCAAAATCAGCCACCGCTGTAATTAAACTACAATATGTATAGCATTCCATTGTTAGGTTATGTGATAGAAAGCTTGTCTTCATGTGCAAAAGAGAACAGAGGAAGAATGGCAGGTGGGGGAACCCCAATAATCCAGTCAGAGCTCTGTCCTGACCCCTTCTAGGGCTCTCACAGCAAAGCAATCTAGGCCCCATTGTCCATCTGGTGTGAAACCCATCAGATGAATCAATGTGAGGGTGTTCCGTGTCACCTTAGAGACTGAGGGGACCTAGTGGGTATGGAACACCCTATGAGATGCAAGAGAAGAGCATCTTGGAATTGCACAAGGCTTATTATGAGATGTTCAGGAGAGGGATCAAAGGTGGGGAGGGGAGGGATCAAGGATATTTGGGTAGGAGCAAGCATAAGAAAATAGAAGGGTAAGTGGATAAAAGGATGAGAGTCAATGGGCACAAATGGGACTTTCCTTCTGAATATCAAAACCCACTTTTTTACCATGAGGATGATTAAGCACTGGAACAGGTTACCCAGGGATGTTGTGGAGTTGGCTTCCTTGGAGATATTCAAAAGCCACCTGGACATGGTCTTGACAACTGGCTCTAGGTGGCCCTGCTAGAGCAGGGGGGGGTTGGACTAGATGACCTCCAGAGGTCCCTTCCAACCTCAACCACCCTGATTTTGTGAAAAGTGGCCAATGGTGGGTAAGCAGGGTGCTGGTCAGCATGCTTGTCTGGCTATGCCCTGCACGTAATCAGCACTATCCATTGTGGTTTTGTATTAAAATCTATTTATAACTGTTTTCCTGGGTGAGGTGACTCTATTCAGCGTGCATGTATGTGTATGGAGTTCTAAGTGCCAGCAACTGCAGCTGGACTACAGGTCATAGAAGCACGTGTCTTTGGTGCTGTGCTGGTTTTGGCTGGGATAGAATTAAGTTTCTTCATAGTAGCTGGTATGGGGCTGTGTTTTGGATTTGTGCTGAAAACAGTGTTGGTAGCACAGGGATGTTTTAGTAACTGCTGAGCAGTGCTCACACAGAGCCAAGGCCTTTTCTGCTTCTCACACTGCCCCACCAGGGAGGAGGCTGGGGGTGCACAAGGAGTTGGGAGGGGACACAGCTGGGACAGCTGACCCCAGCTGACCAAAGGGATATGCCATACCATATGACATCATGCTCAGCATATATAGCTGGGGGAAGAAGAAGGAAGGGGAGGACATTCGGAGTGATGGCATTTGTCTTCCCAAGTAACTGTTACACATGATGGAGCCATGCTTTCCTGGAGATGTCTGAACACTTGCCTGCCCATGGGAAGTGAGGAATGAATTCCTTGTTTGGCTTTGCTTCTGTGTGCATATTTTGCTTTACCTATTAAGCTGTCTCAACCTAGGAGTTTTTCTCACTTTTACCCTTCCAATTCTCTCCCCCATCTGTGACTGTTTGCTCAACTGCTGCTCAGATTTTGGCTAACACAGCTCATGCTAAGGCCTGATGTATGCTGGGAACAGCACCATTAGGTCAAAGCAAGAGCACTACATAGGTGAGACAGGTGCCCGGAAAGAGCTAAAGGGCCATTATACAGCCATTACAACCTGCTGACTGCTGGCTCCTTCATCCATCATCTTTGTCTCCCAGTTTCTTCAGAATCTGCTAACTTAGAGAAATGGTATAGACCAAACTTCCAAGCTGGAAGGTATAGAAACATCAGCTTACTCGAAAGTCTTTGAAGCAGATGCAACAGCTGCCTGACTGCTGTGATACCTATGAATATTGAAATATTAAGATCAACTCAAGCAATTAGAGCCATTGCTCAATAGATG